ATTTGTTAAATTCTCCACTCAATCCAATAATTCTATTCAACGTGAAAAATTTGTTATGATCTCACCAATTTTATTCCCACTTTGTCCAGGGCAAAACATCACATCGAGAGAATATATTCTTTGAGTAGAGGGATCTTTTGGTACTCCAATATACCCGATTTGGATTTAGCCTCTAAAGATCAACTAAATTTATCATTTTAACAATAAAATATATAATCTATATCTGCGCTTCTATCTTTGTCTCAATTATTTGGTTGTACTTTGAAGGTTTTTATCAATGTTTTCTACACCGGCTGCCAAAAGTATCCAGCAGCGATTAATTAATTGTCAATAACGATAATTACTCAATCTTAAACTTACAGAACATATATTTTCATTAAAATTAGTACATTAAATAAGATTAAGCACTTTTGTATTCACTGGTATTTCTAAATACATGTAAAATTTATACGATCAGCAAAATTTACTCTATTTAATGGTACATTCAGTTTTAAAGATTATTTTTGGATTAATTATTGAATGCTGATCATTTACTCAAATTGATACGTATAGTTAAAAGTTTTTTTTATTAATTCTAAACTTTTAGAAAATATTTTTTAAAACACAAACCCTGTTTTTCTAGTAAACAAACTTTAATAAAAAAGCGTTTACTTTTTTGATTGATATTTTAAGAATATTTACATATTAATATTAAATGATTAATGGTGTGTTAGTTTTTTTTAAAAAAATTTATTTTATTTAATTGTTTTTATTGTTAATTCTAACAGAACATGATACTGGGATAGTTGAATCTTTGAACGTTATATTTATTATTGTATTCACAACTGTAGATTTAAGATGGTCTTATACTTACTGATTTCTTTATCATTTCGTTGTCTTTTCACAGACTAACAATTTTTTCATGTTCAAAATTTATAAGTCTGCTCTTTTAGGTTTACTCTTTAAATTAAATAAACGAATATATTCTGAAAGTAAAAATCAAAACGAATCTAATCAATGAAGATAGGTATATGCACAAAGCATGCATTTAAATTCGAAATAATTGACCAGCACTTTTTGTAAATAACTCTAAAAAGTTGATAAATAATAACCATAAAAATATCTAAATGCACACACTATATATACCCTTCCTAAATTCACGCTATGGCGTCCCAAAACTCGTAAGCTAGGCGCATTTATTAAGAAAGTACAATAAAATTAGGTGTATGGATATGTTGCAATTGGCGTTTAATGTTTGCTAAGTATTTCAGATGTTGGACACTTTTGGCGTCTATGACACATTGATTATCACTATAACAATAACGATAGAAATAGATGCTCTTGAATGTCTAAAGAAATACATGCATATGTGTATCGATATGAAAAAGTCTATTACATTTCTAACTGCCAGTTTTACAGTTGTTTATAGCAATAAATAGTTTACTTACGGATCACAAAAGTTGGTTGAGCTACACGCAATATATAGTATATACATATGGAAATAAAGATATCACTGGTATTCTATAAATATTTCGAAAATAATTTTTCAATATTAATGGATAAAGTTGAAAGTCTGAAAATACATGTAGATGTAGATGGTAATATAATTGTGAAGTCTGCAAGTCAATTTTAGACACCATTTTTTTGAAGTGCTGAGTATAAAGTTACCTAAATAAAAAATTATACATGTAAACGTAGGACAAACACAATCATTATACATGTAAAAAGTATCGTATTTATTTATAGACAAAAGGTCTATTTTTATGATAAAAAAAGGAGGTTTACCTATATTTGAATTGTTAGGTAATTTGCGTGTTTGTTTCATGTATGTCTATCACTATAAATACTTCAATTGACAATGCAGTTATTTTTAAAGACGTAAATTAAAAGCCTGTTAAACTGGTGCACGGTCTCAAGCATCACGTGTGCCTGAAGTTATGTGATTACGAAATCACGAGTGTAACCGGTTATTGTTATAGCTGCTTAGAGAATAATGTAATTATCGTTATTCTTAATTAATTGTTTACCACCTTTTTCTTTATATGTTCTTGTCTGATTTACATGATCAGTCTTGGTTAATAATCTAAGCCTTTTTTCACTATCGCTATCTGTATTGCGATTACTCTAAACTGATGAAAATCGTAATATCTGTAATCAATGGATATAAATACAAACGACACTTTTTACGATTTCTGTGTTTAAACATTTACCTTATCGTGAATTTATAAGTACGTATATTTACTGCGGAAAAATATGGTTTCGAGTAACTTTCAAGAAGTTATCGTATTTAACGAAACGCAACGCGTTAACGAAAAACGGGCAAAGTTATTAATTTGGCTCATTATAGGAAGTTTAATCGTTAGCTATAGTATTTGGAATGGTTGGCGAATGGTGGAAGCTATAAAGTCACCGGTCATCATCGGTTCAAGAATTGCAGACCGAGCTGAAATACCTGTAAGTTTTATTTAAGAAAACAAAGTGTATAAGAGAGAAATATGTCAATTTAGTTAAATGCATATAATAATAGGTACCTGGTGTCGTAATTTGCGGCTTACCCTTAGATAAGCCAATTGAATGTTTTGAAAGCGAAGTGAATGCAATTGAAGATAAATTTAATGAGGCAAGTCGTAGTTAAATTAAAAAGATCCATATTTATATATTATGCTAAATATGTTTTATTAAATCATACAGGGGAAAGTCTGTCATGACTACGTTGCCGTTGAAAATGCTACTCAATTTGTTAATATGCGTGGCTTCGATAATGTAACTGGCTACTATTGTTGTAAGTTTTTAAAATATATATAGTCGTTTTTCTGTGAATGAGATCAAATTAAAGTTCATAATGCATACTTATTTACGTATATATTATACTAGATATCTTTGATCCTCAAAGAGAAACAAAAGTTGGAAAAAAACCTCTTAAATTTAGTAATTCGACGCAGAAAATTGCATTGGCGTTATACTCAAGTCTTAAAACGAACAATACAGTAAATAGAGCTTTATTATATTTTAGCGATCCACGTATTAACTAAATTAAATGCAACAACTTATTCATTTCGATAATTTGAATTCATACTTACAAGTTAGGAGCAATTACAATTGATAAATGGGCTTACTATGGAGTATTCACTGAGAAGGAAGATCCTCTGAATGTTAATTTTCAAATAGTACACCTAGTAAGTACATGTAATATATTACAAAAAGTCATAAAAGAATTTTCTCGTTTGTTTGCTAAAAACATGATTTCTTCTATTCAATGATAGCCTTCAATATCGTCTCTATATTTTAACCGCATGGAGAAAAAACAAGTTGTCAGATCTGCCCCAATCATTGGTGGAAGCATGGGAGATACAGCTTATGATTCAACTTCAGATGTGGGACTAACCACATTATTTACCACTTCGAGGATATCTGGATTTGACGTTGGCCCTGATCTTTGGTGCATTTTCCGAATTATTCCACAAGCTCATAATTTTGATAAATCAACATTCACCCAATCTTATCTTGTGGATGTCTCGTATAAGCGCATTGAATTCCCTTTTCTTCAGTTGGCTGCTAATATGGGTGGTTTTGTAAGCCTTTTAAGTGCACTTTATTTCTTTTTGCTTGGATCGAAACGTCTTGATCCGTGGGGTGCAGTTCAAAGATATGTAAGTTTTAATTGAAACTCTATTTATAATTAAAGTGAAATTCGATATAGTAGAGTGGATTCGCCTATTTTTTGGAACATATATAGCGGATCCGCAGAGGAACGGATCGTTGTATTAACTTTCACTATATTAGATACTGACAATAGTTAACGTTAATCGAATTCTATCGCTATAGGTTCTTAAATCAGTTCCACCTCTACCAACCGAATTCCCAGACCCAGACACATTAAATAAAAATCAACAAATTTCATATCAATATAGCAAAACATGCCAATCACCAGATACGCAATCTCATTCAATAAATATGTTTACTGAAAACGATTACAATGACCCACAGGTTCAACTTTTAAGGAAAGAATTACGAGCTGAAATGCAAACAATTGCAAACGACATTGGAGTATTGAAATTATATTTAAGTAAATATTATTTGCAAGGTGTTAAAATGTAATCATTATGATATTTGTATTTTTAGAGTTATTATTCTTCCTCACACCAATTATCTATTGTGTTACGCCAAAATAAAATGAGGTTAACGACGATGACCAATTAAATCGAAGGATCATGTGTAACACAAAAATTCAAAAAATAAAGAAAAAAGTTTGTATTAGAGATAGCGCAACAAGTATGTGCTGCTTATTTGTCACCCATTGCAACACGTTGCAACATAAAAATTTTATAAGCTGCAACTAGTTGCAACTAGGTGATGCTTTATTTGTCGCCATGTTGAAACAGTTGCCGCGCCATCTTTAATTTGTATCGTCTACCTTTTGTATTCTAACAAAAAATGTCCCTTGCAAAATTCCACTATAAATACATTTTTATTTGTCAAATAACTTTGTCCCAGATCCAGACCCTAACTCTTTTCGTATCGTTGGCGTCATCAACACTTATCACGTGACGCGCACTTTTGATGGTCGCCCTGGTGGAATCTATGACTGACACCTATAATCAAAACAAATTGAATAACTTCGCAACTAGGAAGTAATCTGTAGCTATCGTTATGACCAAGAAAGATGTAATTCTTCATTATGAATTAAAATTGGTATTTACGTACTAATGATGATAACCGACTAGACTATTTTCATAATGACGAAAGGTTTCGTCATGTCATTCGTCGGACGATTGACGAAACCTGTGATGATTGATGAAACCTGTGACGAAACCTTCTGATCAATCAAATAAAAGAATGTCACGTTATTTGATTGGCTGAAGGCCATATTATGCTGAATTTTGGCTAGTATTATGAAAACTTGAGAAAAGTGTATAATTTTAAATATATACCTCTGGTAAATTTATGCAAAAAAATAAACCGATAAATTGATAAAGCTTGTTTTTATGGTTTGTTTTCATTCGTCAGACGATTCGTCATTCGCCACTTACATTTCTTTTTTTTTTTTTTTTTTCCCAAAAAGGGTCCACTTACATTTCCAAAGTGGCCATGGCGAAAGGTTTCGTGAAAATCAATACATGTACATGTATTATTGATATTTAAATATGCATTTTGCGCATTCGTTCATTTCCAAAAATCGTCATCATCGTCAGGCATCAACTAGTATTTATTGGTCAGAACGTTTCGTCATTCGTCACAGACATTTTCAAAATGGTCGTGACGAAAGGTTTCGTCATCGTCAAGTATCGTTATACTTACTGTACTTCCTAATTAAGTGGTTACTTAACAAGCTAAATCATATAGTAGAAATTTTATGAGAATTAATTATGTCACTAGATAGTGAGATATCATGATTAATATTGTAAAATATAATATGGTCCAGTGCAAAAAGGTTGATACACCAAAAAGTAAAAGTAAAACTTTTTTAATTAGAATTATAAAATTTATTAATTAAAAGTTTATAATTTTTTTACACTATTAAAAGTATGTTTAAATCTAAATGTTTGTACTATTTTTATTCTTTTATTATCTTTTAATAAAATTTTAGATAAGACAAATTTTTTAAAAAAATAGATTTTCTATGAATATGCAATTTTATAAATTTGTATTAAGCAAGTATATTAATGTATATATGGTAAATATATATTTTAAATTTTAGCAAAATTAAATCACCAGTTATTGAGAAATTAAGCTTTAAAGTCTAAAAATTTGATTTTTTTTATTATATAATAAAAAATTTATATAAACATATTAATTATAGTTTAAATATTATATTTGATAAAAAAATTAAAATTTTAAAAGTAAAAAAATTTTTTATTAATAGCAAAGTAATGTATTAACATTTTGCACCAAACCATATTTAAATAGTGATATTTTGTCATCCAGTGATGAAATTTGCATAAAATTTATTTCATTTAATTTGTCTTGTTGAAAGAAATTCAACAATATAAATTTCATAAAAATATAGAAACTAGACAATGAAATATCATTATTAAACTATCATACTTTAATTTTTATATTAAAATACGATATTAAATGTCATTCTATTTGATTCCTAGATGTGAGATATTACTATTATATTTTATATTATAAAATATGATAATATGTTATCATATAGTAACGGAATTTGCATAAAATTCATATAATTCGATTTGTCTTGTTGAGGGAAATCAAATTCTATTACTAGATAGCAAGAATTATTGTTTAAATATCAGCTTTTAATTAAAATTGATATGATATTTCACTATTTAGTGAGAATTTGCATGAAATTTATATCTCTTACCAAGACAAATTGAATAATATATATAATTTTATGCCAATTCCACCATCAGATTACAGAAGAATGTGCAATTTGTGTAAAAAAATTAGCAATTATCTGATTGATTATTACAATATTTGATTAGTTATCACTGTTGGAATAACATATAATTGCAATACTATTTTTATACTGGATGATAATATATTATCATTAAATATTATATATTAATTTAAATAAGCTCATGAGACAAGCCAAAATTTAGCTTAGTTCAAGCCAGCTCAGAGAAACAACAGACAAAAATTTTTTGATAAAATTAGTTATTAAGTCTTATACAATTTCTAATATTTGTTAAAGTTTATAAAATAAATTTTGTTCTTTTTATTTGATAAAAAAGATATTTTGTAAAAGAAATTGAAAGTAAAACAATTAATTATAAATAAAGAATTCATTAAAATTATTATTTAAATAGAAAATTATATTAATCAAAATCTATAAGTTTTTATTTAAGAAATTTTAATTGTAATATATATATAAAGAAAATACAAAAATTACAAGAAATTAAAGAATAATTGTTGTTAGAGTCTGTATAGTATTCATTATAAACTAAATATAAGAATTTTATAGTTATAACTTTTATAATAACTTGTATAATATATATTTATTATAAAATAAAACATGAAATTTTTTGAAGTTTTTCGAAAATTAGTATTAATATTTCATGTGCTCTATAATAAATTAAATATTAAATTACTAATTTTATATTGTCATCTTATTAACAAATAATATAAATTATTTATTGAATTAATAATAAAAGTTATTTATTTTTGTATTATATTAAACAAATAGAAATGCAATAATGGAATGTTATAGAAATGAGAATATTCTAAATTTATCTTGAAGAATTGATTAAAAATTTTGAACAGAGAATCTTGCATATAATTATAATTCTAATATCAGCTCTAAGCATAGTTCTAAATGCTTTAGATATTCTTTTAAAGAGGATATTCTGATTAGTACAAGTCATTAACTCTGTATTCAATTCAATATGAAATATAATATAGAGAAAACTAAAAAGTGACATTAATTAAAAGATTAAAAAGATAATTTTATATATAATACTGACTATTTGACATCACTCATATTAATTTAAAATTCTGAAGTGACATATATCATTTTGGAATTCTAAAATATCGATTCTGAATTTCAAAACATATTTTTAACTCATGCTATAATTATTCTAGACAAAATCTTATCAAACCAAAATTGTATAATCAAATGAGTATTTCTACTCTCAATTATTTTCTAATTTCTATTGATAATTCTGATTTAAATTCAATCAATTTTAATTACCTATTAAAAACAGTGTAAAATAGATTTATTATTAACTTTTGGATTTAATTAAATAGATTCTTATTTATTTGAGAAATATTTTAATACAGTATGACAGATTTGAAATTGACCAACATGATTGATGCAAACAAAAATAATAGATTAAGACATAATGACAAATAGTGATAGTAATAATAATATAAATATAGAACTATTTATCTTCATAGAACTTCAATTTATATTACTGTACATAAAAATTTCACATGAAATATAATATATTACTTCTATAACATAGAATCTTTATTATTTAAGCATAAAAAATAGAAGTCATAAAAGGTTTCTTTTTATGCACCTCATTTTTATGCATAGAAATCGATATTACTGTATGATAGATACCTTTTCTTATCTAATTTAGCTTCGATGCATATTGTGGTCGTAATGTGTTAAATCAACTTACAAACACAAATGAAAATGAATAAAGACTTCATATAAATTATCATTTTTAAATAAAATACATCATAACAATTATTATTGAAGTTAATAAAATAAACTTAAAGATAGCATTTAAAATTCTGAATACTAATAATTATAGTAAATATTATAGTTGTCAATTTCATTATGAATGAAAATTTGAATTTATTTCCTTAATTAACGTTAATATTAAGAAGTTATAAAACTTTAAAACGTACTAATATTGATATAATTATAGATATCATACAAGAACAATAAATATCAATATATTATTCATATATTAAAATATATATTTCAAATAAAAAGTTGTGAACGAGACCTTTCAATTTCAGAGCACTTTAAGGTAATCAGCAAAACAAATCTAAGTAAAAATTAATATTAATTTTTAAATATGGAGATGTTCTTTGTAAAAACTTATAATACAACTATTGTATACATTACATATTCACAAAATATGGGCTCTGTTTAATAAAAAAGGGGCAGATGTAACAGCTTTATAATAATGAATAACAAATATAACCAAATCTAATACATCTATATCAATATTTATGGATTAAATTTTGTAACAGTTTGCAATAAAATGAGAGGAATATTTTTCTTGAAGAAGGATATAAATTTTTTTGATGGGAATATGTCATAATAATTTGAATAGTATGTAATTAAAGAGTATATTCTTAGGTTTATTTTATATATAAGATATGTTTTTGTTATATTTTTTATGTATTTTATTTTGAGAGGAACGATCAAAAAAAATACATCACTAATTTGACGTAAATAAAAACCAAATAAATAAAGTGATAAATTACATAACAGTTTATTTAAGCTTTTACTATATACATATTGAATTTTATATGTCTGTAACGTTATAATACTAAAAAATTGACTATTATTTTTTCATTTCAGTGATGTATTATTTTTTGAGCACCACTGTATGTAATCACATTACTACTACATGTACACAGCCAATATTATTAATCAAATAAATACTACACAATACACA